ACTCAGATCTGTTCTCAACGAAAACGATCACAGGAACACATATATGCTGCACTATCACTCTTCCAATTACTTATCAGCACTCTGATTCAGTTTGCAGTCAATCAATGCAGACACCCATCGCATGCCAAGCTGCTGGCATCATTCAGCCTGCAACAGGGTCAGTCGCTGCTTCATGGCATTACATACTACTACTGACTGCAATGCTCCATGTCACATGCCCACGTACCACATTTAAGCAGGGTTGCTATTGTTCGTCTGAGATGATGCCATTTGGTCATACAACCACTAATTACGCTAAACGCGAGTACTCATGCAAAACAAGTTGGTCATCACCTTAGTTTTTACTTCTGACAGACTGCGTGTATACGGGTCCACAACAACCCCACGTAACCCCAATTTGCCGAAATTGGGGCTGATAGAGGGACCCGTCTGGACAAAAGAACCAAAATCTAGAAAGCCTGAAGATTTGGAGGAATCCTATGTGGGAAGCTTTTGAATCATAGGGCGCAATGTGGTATCCTTGCAAGAAAGCCAACGCATAGTTGGAGGGCATGAGGGTGAACCCTGCTTCGAGAAAATGCTCAAAAAACTCTGTTGAACCCTGACCGTAGCAAAGGCGTAGCCCCTGCCAACACCCGAAGCAGGCTTTTTTCGTCCGCTTCGCGCCCCAACACATTAAAGGAAGCAGGATTCCGGGAGCAAGCTGCGGATGCTAGACCTCTCTGTGCGGGTTGGTATGACTCGAAACGGAATAGCTGAACCATCATGATAATCATTGATGATGAGAGACATGATGCCAATACTAAACAGGAGTACTGATAAACTCAAGGTAGCAGCAGCCGCAACTGCAGTGGAGTGAGATGCCCTTCGTCTACCCTCCCCCAAGCCAACATGGAAGCTCCTAAAAAGCTATCATTTTCACAGGGGGGCTACACTGGCTACATGGGCCATAGTCTAAACTTCTAGCATCACCCTTAATAACCCCTATAATAGTCCCGTATGCCATCCCCTATACAGCCCCCTTTAAGGAGCTTAGACTATAGCTCACATGGGGGAGAGTAGCACGCTGTTCAAATTTAGATCCAAGCTTGCTGACGAATTTTGGCTGCCACGCAGTCCAGCGCCATCCCATCCTGGGGAAGGGGAAGTCTTGATCCCTAGAAGTTTGTATAGGTTCCTTCACATCCTCAAAAATCCCTAAAGGTCCTACAAACCCTTATAGATCCCTATACATCCCCATAAGTCCCTAAAAGTCCCTATAGATGCCTGTACATCCCTATAAATCCCGGTAGGTCCTCATAGTGCACCTATGTGCATCCCCCTTAAAGGGGCCCCCAATTTGCGGAAGCCCGCTCCTCTGGATAGCTAGCATGCAAGGCTTCCAGCTCAGCCTGTCAGCAGCCCAGGTTTTGGCTTGGGGCTTAAACCGTAAACCCTGAACCCTGAATTCTAAACCCAAGGTTTAGGGTTTAGGGTTTAGGGTCCTAGACCCTTTTGGGTGTAATTAGGGCTTGGGGACCGCTTCGTGTTTGGGGCGTGGTAGGGGATGAGGGTCCAAAAAGGGCCGTAGAGCTACATCCTGAAGCCCTGAAGCTTCGCCCCTAAGCTTCAAGCCATTGCTCTGAAATGCTCTGAAGGGTTTTAGGGTTTAGGGTTTAGGATTATGGTTTAGGTAGGTAAGCCTATGGATAGGCCGCCCACCGACTGTTCGTGACTGATACTTGCAACAATGACAGTAACAATGGCAATAATGAGCTTCTACATACGACTACTGGCATAACAAGCGACAGAACATGTAAGAACAATCAAGGTTTCAGTCACAACAGGTACAAGAAGCCCAGTCACTATGCTGAAGGTTAAGTTGAAGCTGAGGCAATAGTCAGTTGATGACAGTACAAGCGATAGCAAAGCCAGAAACAGAGCGAAGAAATGTGCAGCTGAAGGATCCGAGGCCCGCACCGCATGATGGCAAGAATGTTAGCAGGGTCATACTGCTGAGTAAGTCTGCGCATCACAGAAGTAAGAAGAATAATGATTCTTTAGAGTCCCTTACGCAACCAGATTTTGAAAACACCCGAAACCTCCGAAACGTTGGACCCCAAGACCCTTAACCTAAACTCCTGCCTTGCACTTCATGGACTCCACCTGTTCTGCCAGGCCGGGAGTGTCTCGCACCTCTGACTTCCTCAGGGGGGCTAGAGACTCGAGGGATTGCATGGACTGTTTGTCCGTTAATTTTTGGGGACTTTGGAGGGCTTAGGGCGTTGGGGGTTCAGGGCTTAGGTCCTATTTGTGAGTACTTGGGGGTCTGGATAAAGCCCTCAGCCCTGCCTAAACACGAGCTTAAAGCCGCTAACTACAGGGTTTAGAGTTTGGGGTTTAGGGGTTTAGAGTCAGGGGTTTAGAATTCAGGGCTCGAGGTTTAAGGCTTGGGGGATAGGGACTTCGAGAGTTACAAGGCCCTGTTTTCATTATAAGGACTACGTAGAAGCTCTCGGTGTTTGGATTGTATAGCCATGATGATGGTTCCATACCTACGCAGGCAAATTGCCACACACTAGTGCCATCTCTAGGGCAATTATTATTTATAGGATTCCATAGGACACTACCTGGTTATAACGTGGCTTTTCTTTAATAGTTCCATACTGGCTTCCTCAGAAGTGACTGCTGTAGCGCCCTGTCGCGCTTGGTCAGCGGAATACAAGCCTTCGGAGGCAGCTTGCTGACATCTTGCTCATGCCTTAGCTGCTTTTGGAGCCTTGCTAAAGTCTAGGTAGGTAGATTACGAAATATTATCCCATCTGTAGTAGGTATGTGGGACTGTATGCTATAACCCGGTCACGGAAAAAGTGAATGAACTGCTTGCCTAGCTAGGCCAGCGCCTGAGGCATGGCTGTTTCCCAGGAGTATAATTCACAGAAGCTATAAAACCATGTTGAGGAAGGGTCCAGATGCAAGCCCAGCCAGCGCAAATGGTTGCAGCTCTTGCGGTAGAGCATGTAAATTGCCACACCGTCGGGATCGAAATCACCCAGATAAACCTGCGTCAGTTGAGGCGCCACCCTGTGTAGCTTCTGAAGGAATCGTCTGGTCAAAACGTCCGGATAACCCCTTCCAGTCACCAGTATCAGCGGCAAGGTTGACAGCAACTTGCTCTGCAACAAGTGCTGGAATACGGTGTCTTTCTCAACTACCAGAACTATCTGCGCACCTTCACCAACTTCAAACTGTGTGCGCTGGTCCAGCATTGACTCTCCGATAGATGTCCCCGTTGCGCCTTGTGCCACTACAGACAGAGAGTTATCATGGCGGAACGAGATCTCCCCAGCCAGAAGCCCCTTCTCTGCTGTCAGGATTCCCAAGTGGGACCGCCCAATGCGTAGTGCCCCAACTGCATCCCGCATTGCTCGGTCCATGATATGCTGAGAGCTGAACAAGCCTTGGTTGCTCAGCTTCCTGCAAACGAGAGATTACCCTTCCGTCCAACGACCTAATGGGCCTATGTCTTATGTGGGCTCTGGAATTTCCATGCTCCGTAAGTGAAGGTAGACTCTAGAAACCCAAACCTCTAGATCCGAAACCTGTTGAACCCCTGAACCCCAAGGTTCAGATCTTAAACAAGCCTTAAATCCATTATGTTCTGAACACCTCTCAACCCTAAACCCTACCTGCACCCACAGAGGTGTGTAGAACGATATCCTTTCTTGGCTCTCGTTTATGATTTGTGGAGCACTTTTTCCTACGTTTGAGGTTCAGGTCGAATTGGCTGAGGCTGACCAAGCGTTTAGGACCCCCGACCCCCCAATCGCCCACCCCGCCCCGCTGCCCCGACCCCTCTCCCCGACCATCGCCTGCCAATCCCAAATGGCTCCTCGGGAATTCTGTGCACCCAACAGCCGAGGTAGCGTTTACAATCATCCCTACATAATCACCATGTATACCCATCGTATTACCTATGCCTCTTTCTGGGGTTGAGGTAATCGCCCCAAGTGCTAAACCAAAACCCACCCAGCAAGCTGAGAAGCGGTTGCCCTCAGAAACCACTCGGTAGAAGAGTTCTCGCTGCGTAGCAGTTCGAGCCACCTCTAATGAAAAAGGGCATAGTACTAATAGCATTATTGTCATTATTGTCATTGCAATGTTGATTGTAATACTAATAGCAATATAAGAAGGTTGGGTTCATGCAGGATCCTTCCTATTAAAGTATTGCAGAGCAGGCCTTGTTCAGCCTGTGCACATTGTCCAAAGCAGCGAAGAGACGAGCTATTCGTCGAAAGTTGCGAGGGACGAGGGTGAGGCGATTCTGGCGGTCGACTGCTACGTTGAAGTCGCCATCTTCCTTTCACATGGATCGTTGGCAGCAAGACTGGCAACATGACAGGTGGAACTTCAGAAGCTGTCCAAGTCTACAACAGCACGCTTGGTGAGCCTGGATCAGAGAGTGGCATGGCTCGGTCAATAGTATTGCCGCCGGCAGGCGTGCGCTGTGTGGGAGGGGCCGCCCTGCCTGCAAGACATTACATGTTTTTGGAATTCAAGCTTTTGCATTAAAACATCCTGTGTTGTTCGCCCTGTAGCTCAAACCACCCCAAGTTTGTGGATTGAGGCTTCACCCTTTGGCGTAAGGCAGACGCGGACGAGACCCACAGTCGTAACTAGGATCATCAACCTTGGTTTTTTAGAAGTACGCTTCATGCTAGCACTTGCACTACAACTGAAGCTTGCCTGTTGACATGCCTCCTCAGCCTCCCCGTTGGCAACCACGTCAAAGACTGCCCGAAGTACATTGTGCATCAGCCTGTTTGGCAGCTGAAAATACTGTGCATAGCATTGGCAACTTTGCGCATCTTGAAACCTGGCAAGGCTAACTGCAGCTAGATACAACCCTTCAGGCAACAGACTCTGCTTGCAGTCTTTCCCTGCTGAAAACTGCTGCGCAGTCTAAAGCCTCTCCACAGCCAGGACTGCGCCATGGTGGTCCACATCACGGTGGACACCTTTAACGCTGAGGAGATCCGTATCCTCTGCTGATGCTCAACTGCATCCCGCTGCTTGCATGCTGTTTCCCATGAACTTAAGACTAGCTAAAGCCAAGGGTCTAGGGCTATAGCCAAGGGTCTAGGTTTTCGGACTTAAAATTTAGTGCTTAGGATTTAGGGTTGAGGTTTTCGGATTAGAGTTTATAAGTTCAGGGCTAAGGATTTACGGCTCGGGGTTTGAGGTTTGGGGTCTCCCTTACCCCTCCACCAAACACCGGGATCACCAGTACAGGCACCCTCTGATATCAAACGAGGCCAACCTTATTGCTTTGGAGCTTCTCACAGGCTCGAAGAAGAATTCTCAAAGCGGGTGTACCTTGAGGACCCCAGGGACATATGTAACTTATGAGAGGATGATGAGGGTCGTTCTGGAGATTATGTAGAAAACATGTTGAGAAACCCCTGAATCCCCCTAATATCCCCGAAGCTTTCACCAAGGTGCCCGAGCTTCGATCTCCCACGCTGCAGCTCGGGCCATCTTCCCCACAGCTTGGTTTTACTGGACAAGGCCCCAAGAAAATAACATGAACTAAACGTGTAGGTGACCCCAACTTAGGTATATCTGACGAACATGAAGCTGAGTTAAAAGTGGCCACGCATTACTTGTTCCTGTGTGCAGATCTGCTTTGTGTATCTACAGGCCCTGGCCCCTCACAAGAGCTCTACTCAGGCTTTGGTACCGGAGCTTGAGCCCTGAAACGTTGCGATGCGCTGGCTAGCTGTGCGCAACCTAGCTCTGCCATGCAGCACGGCGCGATCAAGTGATCTGGTGTTTGCTCAAAGCAGGGGTCCTCTGAGCGACCCTGGGGATATATGTGGAGCCTGACGGGATTTGGGGGGAGCGTGAGGGAATTCTACGGCTCGTATCACCCGAGCTGTTCCTCCCGAAAAGTAGCAGACGCACTGTAAGAGCACTTCAAAAAGTGACTCAAAATTCTCTCCCCATCTGGTGAACGCAGACAGTCGAGCCTTGATCCGAGAATAGATGTAGATGACGAAGAAGTAGGAACAGTAGAAGGAGACCTCACGTCAGGAGGGAAGAACTTTCTGTCTCCGCGCTATTGGTGCCAAAGCAAACGTTCAGGCAAGGAAGGGCATAATTACCCCACACCTCACATCTTACACCCCCGGCCCTCTGCACACACTCTCAACCCAATTCTCAACCTTCCTACTGAGTCAACCCTCCCAACCATCAAAAACACCAAGCCCGAAACACAAAGCACCTCCCAACTCAACACCAAGCCCCAGAGCCCAAAACAACATCCGAAGAACCCCCCCCCAACCCCAGACCTCACATCCTGCAGCCCCCATGCCCCTATACCAATTCTCAACCCGCCCACAAAAAAAACGCCTCCAAAACATGCGTAGGCAAAGCACCCCTAACAATCCTCAACAGATCCCGTAGTAACTCCCAGTTCAAAACTAGACAATCCACTGCAAAGCACGAGGCCCAGTTGTGTGGCTTAGGTTGTATGTAGGTACTGCAATTGGGAGTTGTTTGGGGAGTACGTGGGGAATCACCTGAGCACGAGCAGAGATCCTCCAAAAATTGATGCAAATGGGGGGAGGGGGTGGGTCCTTGCTTCGTTGCAAAATCAGCCTCTAACCCTGGACCGTCAATCTTTACCCCCGAACCCTAAAACCCGAAACCTTTGGCATCTTTGGGATATACACTTGGACCCCCCTCTTTTTAGAAGTCCCCAACAAACTGCAGGAGTTTTCTGGGCTCCGAGCGCAACCCAGCATCAAAGCAATGCCATGGGCTGCCAGCAATGAATACAAGAAGAAGAAGGAACACCTGGGGAACGGTTGCGTCGTTTAGGGTGTAGGGGTTTGGAGGGGTAAGGTTTACAAAGCCCTGTACGATATAGTCGCGACATAGCTACATGAACTCTGGGGGAATGGATTCCGATGCGGTTTAGGGTTTAGGGTCTAGGGTTTAGGGTGTCTCATGGAGGGGCGCGCTGGTGCTGAAAGCACCCAGGCGCGCGCCCCAAACTGTACGAGCCCACCCCCGCTGGCACTCCACCCTCGACCTTTTCCGGGTTTAGGGTTCTCTCGAACTCTGATCGCGCTCCTGTCCTCTTACTTGTTTTTTGCACCTGTTTAGACCCATCGGGTGCAAGGCGGGTGCTGGGTCTGGCTCGAGGCTTCTTGCGTGTGTTTGAACTGAGTTTTGCCTGGAAGTCTCCAAGCCTTGAACCAGTTGGGCCTGTCCAGACCAGACAGGTGCAAGGTTTGGGTCTGGGTCTGGCTCAAGGCCTCTACTCCTCTTCGAACAGAGACCTTGCAAAGGTCCTGAAAATGGAGCCAGTCGTCCTGGACCGCGACGAAGGCTTGGCACCTCTGAAATACCCTAAGCTTTTTGGGAGCGGCAGCCTGAGGCTGCTGAGGCCCCAAGAACCCTGGCTGCCCTGAAGAACTTTGCTGGGAGGCCCTAGGAGCCCCGGAAGGCCCTGAAAAACCCATGACTGAGAAGCCAGAAGCCTACTCAAAGAGCTAAAACAGGAGGAATCGCTCCTGGCAAAAAATGTGGGATACCTTATTCTAAGGGCGACCTGACGGGTTACTCGCCAGCGGCCTGCCGGGCCCACCGCGCAGCCCGCAGCTGCCTGTGGGACTGGGGGGTCTGTTGCCCACCGGAGGGCTCCTTAGGTTTAGGTCAGAGTCGCTGCAGAACGCCACCTGATTCGTCGCGTCAGCCCTCGCCTCCTATGTGCAGTGGAGGCTCAGGCTTTGTCGTCGTCTGGCCCTCGCCCGGAGGCTCAGGCCTTGTCGTCAGTCGTCAGAATCGTCAGCCCTCGCCCCCTGTGTGCAGTGGGGGCTGAGGCTTTGTCGCATCCATCGTGCCTGAACATCCTGAACAAGCTGTTTGAGGTTAAAGGGGATAATCTTATTAGGGGAGAGGTCGCGGAATGCATGCAATCTGGGAAATCCGAGCGCGTCACTGAAGGAAGCCATTCATTCCTGTCTGCAGGAAGAAGTAAATGCAGTACCTCGCCACAGATTTTGCAGAAACAGCCTGCGCTACATCCCTCCCCTGCTTCTAATGGGGCACAGGTAAAAGAAGGCAGAAACAGCCACGCCAGAACCTGTCATAGATTCCATTCTGGAGGCTCAACAGCCGCACAGCTCTGACGTTCTGATTAGCTCAGGGCTGAACCGAATGATCTCCACCACCAGCGGTGGTCCTGCGCATCTTTTCTTTCCAGATGATCGGAGAAATTGGTTCTTCTGGGGACTCATGGGCAAACATCTCGTCCTCCTATGACCACCAGAATCACCCAGCTCAAGTATATGTCTGAGTCAAGCATGCTACCGCCAACCTCTGCGTTGAGGTGGAAGTAAGTGAAGAGCACCGTCACCTCAAGCAAGCACAGTCGTCGCGGTGAAGTTCACATGTCTGCAAGTTTCTTGGGCATCTTGAAAAGTGGGTGGTATGGGTTTTTCCGGAATATTGGGCCTCCTTTTCAGGGATCCCGATAAGAAGAGCCACAGAATTTTGGGCGGGGAGGACCCCAATTTTTTTGGAAATCATCACCATCCTTTTCGGGGCAATGGGGCTTACCCTTAGGGAGCATGAGCACAATTGCTTGAGGCACCCACTGTCCCGGCCACTAGCAGGAGCATCGTGAAAGCCAGGAGTAGGATGCCTCACGCAAGGGAAGCGGCAAGGAACTGGCCACGTAGCGAGAAGCAGCGACTGTGGAATGCATGCGTGTAGCCATCCGTACAGAAGCCCTGATAATCATAGCAACAAAATTAATGCTGGCCCACAGCACCCATTCCCTTCCCGCCAAAAAACAGGGAGCTATAGTCCTCATTAAGTAGCTACAATATGGCTTTGGGTATATCATAATCGGATCCCCATATACCCCAGATTCTATCCACTTTAAGGGGGACCATAGCTTGGACACTGGAATAAGACAGGTTTCAACCTTCCAGGGCTCAGGCCATACAGGAAGTATATCCTCGGGCCCCACACCTCGGGCTCAAGCAGAGGAGTCCAGGGACAAGAAGGGTGAGTCAAGGGAAGTACTTTTCTTGGGAGCTGGTAGAGGAAGCCCCCTACGACCTGCCTTTGAAGTTGCATATGTACTGCAAAACTAATCTCCTTCAATGGGACCTCTGATGCTCAGGAGGTCGGGTACTGGATGTTCGAGACTGAGAGAGAGCTCATTAAGCCGCCCACAGAGTTGAAGATGTAGTGCAGCTCAATATAGATGGCACCTTACCAGCATCTCGGTCGCAGCTCTCATCGATTCCATCCGGCAACATATTGACCAAATTAAGGTCCGCGCTGAAGGGCAGGAAGCCCGACGCAAAGAACTGCGTGACAGGATTTTGATACCTGCCAGCCGCCGTTGGGTTATAGGGAGCGCCATAGGTGTTAGTACATTAGATGGGGTTTTCATGGAGACTACCCGAAGGCTCCTGCCCCGATTGCCAGCTAGTCAGGAGTAAGGGAACAGGACCCCGATACACCTCACTTGGGGAAATTGCGAACCCACTTTAACCACGAAAAAGTGATGCGAAAACCCATTTAAGAAGGAATTCTATGGAACCTGAGCCTCCTGCCCTCAACCCTAAGCAGAGGGGTCACCAGCGGCACGATGGAATCTCCCGCGCTAGCTTGTTCGTCTTGCAGGGAAATGGACTTCCCTCTGCCTGGCCGAGGTTGTGAGGGTTTGGGGTGTTTACTGGGTTGCTGTTAAGGAATTTAATTTGAGTTACCATATTTGGGGAACCCTATTATTTACTATATATACCCATGATGGTAACTTGATTTAAGTTCCTTAACAGCAACCCAGTTTAGGGGTGGAGGGGTGACATGGCCAAGGGGTTGGGTTTTGGGTGTAGCCGGTTAGGGTGTGGGTTCAGGTGTGTAGGGGTTTAGGGGTTTAGACCTTAGGGGTGTATGTGTAGAGGGTCTAAGGGCTTGGGGGTTTTGGTTTTAGGGCTGTGGGGTTGCCGGTTTGGGGTACTGGGTCCACCATCCGCTCCAATCTATGAACCCAACAGCTACACGGAAGCATGCAGATCCAAAACCTTTAGCCCACGCCTCCTTGGGAACTCCAATCACGAGGAGCCCTACAATATAGCCTACTGGAAAGGACCCCGGATCCACGAATGAGTTAGGGAACCTACTTCTACTGGGTTACAGTAGGGTTACTGTATAGTGGGCTGATTAGGGACATATTATAATACCTATAGCTCCAGGACCCCTCGAGGTTCTTCCATGGGATGCCTTAGGGTTTAGGGCTTAGGATTTAGGGTTTAGGATTTGTCTAGGATTTAGGGTCTAGGATTTAGGATCTAGGATTTAGGGTCTAGGATTTAGGGTTTAGGATCTATCCTGTGTTTAGGGTTAGGATTTAGGTTTAGGGTTTACGGCTTAGCGCTTACCTCTACACGAAGGATCAGGCCTGAGCCTGCTTGAGCGAGCGATGCCTTCCTCACACAGCGGAGGACATGCGCCAATGGCTTACTTTGAGTTAGTAGGGAATAATGGAGTATTATCTATGTGTTATATATATATATATCTAGCTCTCTCTCTCTCTATAGGCCTTAGGGCTAGTAAGCAACAAAGGAATATGTTATATAGGCATAATATGGGGGGTCATATTCCCTTATTGCCTATTAAGCAACAATACGACAGGGGGCCCTCAAAACGAGGGCCCCGGCCCCCAGACCCCGATCCTTACAATAATGAGTAGAGTATTTGGGAGTGCATTTCTATAAGGGGATGCTACGTTTGAGAAATGCCCCTGAGGAAGGAAGTCCTGTTGCTCGCAGACATCAAGATTAACTCCAGGCCAATGATTTCACCAAGCCCATCGGTGAAGAATGCCATTATGGAAGGAAATCTTGTTGCTCGCAGAAGTCAAGATAAGCTCCCGGCCAATGATCCCACCAAGCACCGTCAGTGGGAACGTAACGCATGCCCACATTGCGAACATCAGCAATCTGCAAAGGGAAATGGCAATCAAGCAACGGCCGCTAAGCTGCTTCACTTGACACCCTTGCCGTGGTTGCGCGAAGCATGCAGCGTGCCAGACCCTTTTATCACCCCTGTATACCTGCATCTGAAACCCTGGCGGCGCACATGGTCGGAAACGGGAAGGCAGCAGTGGAGCCATAAAAGATGGCAACCGTGTTCAGAAATGACCTGCATGTGGGGGCTCCTTTAAACTGCTACTTGAGTGGCGGCCCTTGTATGGTTAGTAGGCCACTGGAGGAATGGATCCCGAGTGCTCCCTGCGTGACTCTGTATATCAGAGCCCCAAAACCCCAAATCCTAAACAGTACTAAACAGTACCCCTCAAGCTCCCTACTAGCCACCATGAAGCGTAACGCTTCGTTGCCCGCGCGCATCCCTAGGATCCTGAAGGGCAGACAGCGTAGAGAACCACTATCTCCAAAATCATGGCACGGACTTCTAGGGTTTAGGGTTCCGGGCTTAGGGCTTAGGGTTGTTTAGGATCAAGTAGGAGCCAAAAACACTACAGATGCAAATGGTCCCGCTGCTGGGATAGGTTGCTCTATGTTGAGCATCGGCATTTTGGGCTATAACTTTATGCAACGTAATTTGACAGACACTGTTTCTTAGGTTTACAAAGCAATTCAACTGCAACTGAACTTCTAAGGAGACTCCTGAACACTATGCCCCAAACCCTAAAGCACCCCAGGTCCCCGGCCAAATCAAAAAGGCCGGACCCATGAAGCAAAGAGCAGTCATGAAGATGTTCCTCCCAAGAGGCACAGGAATTTATCAAAAATGGGGCTGCGGTCGTTCAGGGACCCTAGGGATGTAGGGATTAAAAAGGGGATTCTTGGGGTCGTTACACGGGATTATGTAGGCGTCATTCTGAAAAACTTCTAGAATTTGGCGGAAAAGGTTTGGTGTTCAAGGCTTCGGGTTTGGTAATGGCTTTTCGTTTCAGGTTCTAGATTTGGGTGAGAGTTTAGTGACTAGGTTGGGGGTTCAAGGCTTTTTTGTCTGATATGGGATATAGTTTCTGAGGGTGTCTCATGATTGGGGCCACTTTTGCAGCATAGATTGGGATTGCATGGAGATTTCACAGGGCCGGCGGTACATATGGATCTAGTCTTAGTCTGGCCTCCACAGACTAGTTGGCAAGATAGGGAGCACTAAGATGAGGACCCTCAAAAGGCGGTGTTAACTTTTGGAAATCGCGAAGTCTCGCTGTGTGCAGTTTTTTTGTTGAACTCTGCATCATGAAATGCGAGGGCCTAGGCTAGGAACCCGACCTCCAACGCTTGACTTACATGAGAAAGCCCAAGAAGAGCCTCCCGCATTTGTTCCTCCCCCTCTCCTGATCTGCGTGTTTTTTTTCGAAACTTTGCTCACCTGCAAACAACCAAAATGCCACAGCCCTCAGCCTTTCGTGACAAGACGCAATGGCAAAATCGTGTAAGAACCCGACTAAACCCTAACCCTAAATCAGTCCTGAACCCCTAAGCCCAGAAAGCATGTACCCCTTGTGGAGGAGTCCGGAAGAAGCCCCATGTCCATGGCAGACGCATGTTCATAGCTCCTCGGACCTACCTAAGGCCTGCCGAAGGCTCCATGGTCTCCCAGCAATAGGCTAAGTAATAGTAATGGTAGTTGTAATTTGTAGTTGTAGTTGTTGTAGTAGTAGTAGTAGTAGTAGTAGTAGTAGCCCATGTCCATGGCAGACGCATGTTCATAGCTCCTCGGACCTACCTAAGGCCTGCCGAAGGCTCCATGGTCTCCCAGCAATAGGCTAAGTA